AGACTAAACCTCAAGGTAGCGTAGAGAAATAGAAAAATGAGTTCTGGCATCCCAACTCTGCCAATTACTTGACTGCATTATCTTCAACAAATTACTTCATCTCTCTGATCTCAGGTTCTTCCTCCACTAAATGTAAAGTATAATACTGAATTTGCAGGGTCGCTATGAGAGCTCTGTATGTAAAATATTTAACATTGTGCCTATCTAGTACAAGACAAGTATTCAATAAATGGTAAATATTCCTATCATAAACAACAACTCTGGCTTTTATTTCCAGCCTACAGGCCATACCTGGTTGAAATATAACCTAATTTACCTTCATGATCTAAAAATTGTACATTCTCTTTAGTCTGAAATATTTATAAGTGGCTAGGTCAGAACAAGGCTGCCTTGGTAACAGCAACTTAGCTTGGAAGGGGAAAAAATGGCTATAGAATGAACTCCAATTTACTTAGGCTGATGACTAGTTGAACAGAGTAAGAGTTCAGAAATTGCTCAGCACACACTATCTTAATTATTGAGAAACAATTCAAAATACTAGTTATAATGACAATGTAGCATCATCTTTCAAAACAAAGGATTTCATATACATATTCCAAAATAAGCAAATCATAATACAAATCTTCAAAATTTAAGATTTTCTTAACCACTCACAGAAATGTATAAAAAATTTATCTAAATGTTAAATCATACTGTCATATTTAACTTCATCAAAGTAAAGACTTTTAACTCACCTAAATTCCAAGAGCATTATCTTTCTGATGGCAAACCTAAAATTATAAAAATAAATAATAAAAATATTTAAATAGAAAATATAAACAATTCTGATTTATCAGTGTAGATGTATTTTGGAATCTTGTTTTAATTGACTCACATATCACAATAATCATAATTAGATATGCATTGATAAAAGCTAATTTTGCTTTTAGGTTTTTTGGTTTGTGTTTTGTTTCAGAGTAGTTTATTTTTAAAAACTGCCAAAGAACAGTAACAAGTTCCCATGTAAGAAACACAATCAACACCATGACATACCAGGATATAACAGAGATTCACAGCCAAATAATTCTAATCAAAACACAAATGTTCGTTAATATTCATAATATTGGATTGAAATTGCCAAATGCTTGCATGTTTCAATTTCTTAAAAATGACCAACACTCGTTGCAGCTATTTGGGGTCTTTTTTTATTCCAGATGAATTTTTGGAGAGTTCGTTCTAGATCTTTGAAGAAGGCCATTGGTATTTTAATGGGAGGTGCGTTGAATTTATAGATTGCTTTGGGTAGTATGGACATTTTAATGATGTTGATTCTACCAATCCAAGAACATGGTATGTTCTTCCATCTGTTTATGTCTTCCTCTATCTCTTTTTTCAACGTCCTGTAGTTTTCTGAGTAGAGGTCTTTAACCTCTTTAGTTAAGTTTATTCCTAGGTATCTTAATTTTTTTGGTGCGATGGTAAATGGGATTGTTTTTCTAATCTCTCTTTCTGAAAGTTCACTATTGGTGTATAGAAATGCCTCAGATTTCTTGGGGTTAATTTTGTATCCTGCTACATTGCCAAATTCATGTATTAAGTCTAGTAGCTTTTTGATGGAGTCTCTAGGGTTTTGTATGTATAATATCATGTCATCTGCAAATAAGGACAGTTTTACTTCCTCTTTTCCAATTTGGATGCCTTTTATTTCTTCTTCTTGTCTAATTGCAATGGCTAATACTTCCAGGACTATGTTGAACAGGAGTGGTGAGAGTGGGCATCCCTGTCTTGTTCCTGTTCTTAGGGGAAATGGTGTTAGTTTTTGTCCATTGAGTATGATGTTGGCTGTGGGCCTGTCATATATGGCTTTTATTATGTTGAGGTGTGATCCTTCTACTCCCACCATGCTGAGAGTTTTTATCAAAAATGGGTGTTGGATTTTGTCGAATGCTTTTTCTGCATCAATTGATATGACCATGTGGTTTTTTTCTTTCAATTTGTTTATGTGATGTATCACGTTTATTGATTTGCGGATATTGTACCATCCTTGCATCCCTGGGATAAATCCTACTTGGTCATGGTGTATGATCTTTCTGATGTACTGCTGGATCCGATTTGCTAAGATTTTGGCATCTATGTTCATGAGGGATATTGGCCTGTAATTCTCTTTCATTGTGTTGTCTTTACCTGGTTTTGGTATTAGGGTGATGCTGGCTTCATAGAATGAGCTTGGAAGTGTTCCTTCCTCTTGAATTTTTTGTAGTAGTCTGAGGAGGGTAGGTTTTAGTTCTTCCTTGAATGTTTGGTAAAACTCCCCTGTGAAGCCGTCTGGCCCTGGGCTTTTGTTTGCTGGAAGCTTTCTGATGGCTGCTTCAATTTCTTCCATAGTTATTGGCCTATTGAGGTTTTTAGATTCTTCCTGATTGAGTTTTGGAATGTTGTATTTTTCTAGGAATTTGTCCATTTCCTCCAGGTTGTCTAGTTTGTTGGAGTAGAGTTGCCCGTAGTATTGTTTAACAATCATTTGTATTTCTGTGGGGTCTGTTGTTATTTCGCCTCTATCATTTCTGATTTGGTTTATTTGGGACCTCTCTCTTTGCTTCTTGGTGAGCCTGGCTAGGAGTTTGTCAATCTTGTTTATCCTTTCAAAGAACCAGCTCTTGGTTTCATTGATTTTCTGTATTGTTTTTTTGGTCTCTATGTCATTGATTTCTGCTCTAATCTTTATTATCTCCTTCCTTCTGCTCACTCTGGGGTTTTCTTGTTGCTCTCTTTCTAATTCTTTGAGTTGTAGAGTTAGATGATTGACTACCATTTTTTCTTGTTTTTTGAGATAGGCCTGTAGAGCTATAAACTTTCCTCTCAGGACTGCTTTCATTGTGTCCCAGAGGTTTTGGATTGTTGTGTTTTCATTGTCATTAGTGTCTAGGATGTTTTTAATTTCTTCTTTGATGTCATCGGTAACCCAATCAATATTTAATAACATGCTATTCAGCTTCCAAGTGTTTGATTTTTTGGGTTGTTTTTATTGTAGTTTATTTCTAACATTATGCCATCGTGGTCTGAGAAGAAGCTTTTTATGATTTCAATCTTCTTGAATTTGTGGAGACTTTGCTTGTGACCCAATATGTGGTCTATTTTTG